AGATTCTTATACATTTTAGATGCTAAAAACGACACGACTGTTTTCCACGGCAGAACTGTACTCTTTAATCCTTCATAACACGATTAGAAATCAAGACACAAAAATAATTAAGTACATTTTTTTTACAGGGGATGAACAATACGTTCATGATTTATAATCGGATATAATTTCAAAATGAACTCTCTTACAAAACAACCGCGAAGGAAGCTACTCAATTATCTTGGAAACACGTATTGGTAAAATTTAACTTGCGATCATTTTCAGCGTTCACAAATCTATAAAAAACACCTGTCTGGTTCAAAATAATTTCTGAACGCGAGCCCGCGTTGTTCAAAAGTGGGACAGGTAGGGAAGACGGAAAAAAGATGGAAAAAGAGGGCGGCAAATACAGTGAGTGCCCAGTCGCCGGGCCGACTTTCAGAAAGTGCAGCAGCTATTTTTGCACTGGGGGGGGAGGGAGGGGGATGGTCACGGCGCACGGAACAAGTGTCCTTAGAATTTCTCGGAGTCGACAACGTGGAAAAATGTAACTGAAATGCCAAGGGGGGTGAAAGCACTCGTAACAATTCGTGTCCTCCTTAAATCAAATTAATTAACTCCTCTGGGCCTTCCTTATTGAGATAAGACGTGTACCGAGGGAACTTGCTCGCAGAAATTTCTGACGTTAAAAAAGCCGGAGTTTTATCTACTCTACATATAAATGCAAGATTTAGAAAATTATAGCGCGAATAAATTTTCTATCTCTCCCTCTCTCTTTAACATATTTTATAATTTTTTAAAATACGTTTCTTAACTCCTCGTTACCGAATTTGGTTATAAAACATCGATTCTATCGATATACGGAAGAGATTCGTCAAATAAAATTTTCATTCTGAGGAAACAGTTAAAATTTAATTTTTTATAATAAAATATCGACCGCATCCTGCAACGACAATGTTAACAGCTTTTTAGAATGTTATAATTATTCCGAAACTTCCTGCACGTTCGCTTTCATTTGTTGTGCGCCGATTTATCTGGCGTGCAATTTATCATCGACCTGTGCATTTATCCTGCGGTTGCGTCTTATCGAATCGAAATGGGCTAATGAAATTGGGCGGGAGACGGGCGTCGCGACGCCCTTAATTTCCGGCCGGGGCGGCGCGGCGCGGCGCGGCGCGCGGCGGCGAAACGAGCGGAAACGAGACGTTGTATTTATGTTAAAACTTAAACGCTCGTCTTAAGCACCAGCCGAGTACAGAGGCCAAAGCGTCGCGTCGCCTTGCGGCTCTTCCGATCGGAATATTTCTGCGATGGAAACTTCCTTCGCGCGCCATGCCGGGAAATTTCCGGAATGACGTGGAAATTATTAGCAGACGTCGCGAACTGCGAATGCGAGACGCTAAAATGGAGTCTCCGCGTGCCCGGCTCTCTCCGATATTTTACCGCGTTTATCAGGGTTTGCTGGCTAATTTAGCTACACGTTAAATAAATCAGCGGGCGAGGGGAAATATAATTTTTCACCAAAATATAAACTCAAGCCCTTTAATTTCCCACTTATTTCGCGCATCTCCTCTTCTCCGATCAAGATTCGTAAAAGATTTTCTCAACGGACCATTGGGCGGATCTTGACACGCAAGGTGTGCCAAAAGGCCAAATATTTATGTCGACGACGAACTTCCGGTTAATACCTGTAAATTTTCCCGAGCATATTCTGAATGTAGCGCCGAGAAATATCGTTTCTTTCATGCGCTCTTATGCGCATTCAAGTTGCACCGAGGCTGCAAGCTCAGCTAAACCCTCAATTCTATCTCTCCTCATCTATTCATGGGACGGTCTCGCGTGACATTCTTTCCGTGAATTTTGCTTAGGCGCATCCTCTCTCTTCTCGCGTCTCCGTATTTCCGCTCGATTCAGACCCTATTTTAATCATCTTCTTATCTGTTAAGGAAGTTAAGTCTCCATTCGTTACTTTAAATACTCGCTCCTTTTCCCAACTGATTAATTACGTAGGTTTCCCCAATATCTATTTCGATGTATTGGCGCGGTCGGGTGAAAAATTCACGAATTTTTCGGGAAATTACTAACATGGGGCGCGTTGCATTCGCTGCAAAAGGGTGACAGCGCGTGACATTCTTTCCGTGAATTTTGCTTGGGCGCATCTTTGTATTTCCGCTCGATTCAGAATCTATTTTAATCATCTTCTTATCCGTTAAGGAAATTAAGTCACCATTTACTATTTTAAATACTCGTTCCTCTTCGCAGCTGATTAATCGCGGTTTCCACAGTATCTATTTCGAGTTGGCGTGGTCGGGCGAAAAATTCACGAATTTTCCGGGAAATAACTAACACGGGGCGCGTTGCGTCCGCTGCAAAAGGGTGACAGCGTGTCTAAGAAGGGGGCGGCTCGCCATTAATTAGCCTTGATACGCGCGATATTGACTCACCCCCCTTCCCTTCTCCGCCGGGGCAGGCGTTGTGCTCCGCCTAAATGAATGCAGGGTAGCGAGGGATGCAGCTGCCGCTGCGAGAAAAATGTGGCGTCGCGGAAATTTCCCGGCGCAGTTTTCCTTTTTATTTGCGCAAGTATAAATCGTCGTTGGTTCAAACCGCGCGCGTATATATTTTCGAGATATTCCTTTCGCCTGCCGTAAATAGAAATCTGCTAATTCATTATTGCCACAGTGGCGCATAATTTATTTCCCGTAATGTAATTAATACGCGCCGACGAATAAATTTGTATTCTTCTGTAGAAATAATGTTAGAGTGCTATTCTGTGGGAACAATGTTGAAAATAGACCGTTATTCTTGCTTTAAATAAAGCACGGTTTATGATAATCGGCATTATTCAGTTTGTCATATTTTACAACTGAGTGAATATAAATAACTTGACAAGCACTTCATCAAAGAGGATTTATAGAATAATTCCAAGATCCTGTTAAATATCCGAAAATCAGTAATGAATCTTGACTCATATGTATCTTTGTAAATGATACCGACATGTGTATAAGAGTTCTGCTGTTTGAATAATAAGTAGAATAGTTTCTGACCTCTCACTTTTGCATGCTAAGTAAATTTTGGAATTTTCATTAAAAGAACTTTAAAGGTAAAAGACAATTCTCGCAAATGTGAATAAGCGGACGTAATAAAAAAGAAAAAGATTTTTACCGCGAAAGAATTGTACTCTTCTGGAATGTTATTCTCTTTAATACAACGGCCGGAATTATTGGTTGAAATTATTAGAAACTCGAACTATTAAAAACAAAGCTAGATTTCAATGATTTGTGAATTTCCGCGGAATGAGCTTGGAATAAATTCTCTAGAAAAAAAATTATTAATTTTCGATTCCACTGTACTTAATTTTTTTTCTAATAAATATAAGGAATGCGAGGTAATAGGTCAATGTTGAAGGAAAATTCAGATTCAACATATAAAAGAGTACTAGCAAAAGTAACTATTCCTGTTATTCAAATAGCACATTTCCCGAGAGGTTTCCCTGCAATTTTTGAGCAAAGTCTCGAACTTCTTTCAAAATTGGAATTCACAAGTACGAAAAGTCTCTCAATTCCAATGAAGAAGATATGAAAATGCATCGTCGCTCGACAATGGAAACCGCGAATACGAAAAAATTAACAAAGATACACGCGCGCAAAAATAGAAATTCTGTATATGTCATGCTAAAATCAACGAGAAAATCACGAAATATTTCGTGCCTCGAATGCCTCGCTGTATTCAGAAACTGAAATGTATTATTACTATAAAAATTGTAACCTTTATATTGACGCTATTGTTGCCTTACTGAATGGAAGTGATTTAAAATATAGAGATACAAATCATGCACGTTTGCTCTGCAACCTCTATCTTGTATCTTTTCATAAACACACCAAATTAAAAGAGATATATAATTTCTAAAGTATGAATTATTATGGTATAAGTGAAAAAACTAGGTAGTAGTTTTAAAATATATAGAGGAAAGTTCCCTATTATGAGATGGGCTTCTAATGTAAGATAATAAAAAGGTTTTCAACGTCCAAATTCAATCAAATGTTTTTTCGCGACGATTACACGATCTAACAATGAATTTTCCACTAAACAGATTTTACTTCAAGATCAATAAATTCACGATGGAACCAACAGATAATGCTTGTTAATTTAACAGAAACCCCGCTATCTCGTATTAGGCCGTGTCTCATGACAGGGGATTTTCCTCTATGTATGAAATATTGAATTATAACCATTTTCTTGCTTTAATATTGTGCTAGAAATTAAAATTGGCGTGATAAAAGTCCGTGAATTTTTGTCTTGCTATACTGGTGATATAATTCATTTTTGTCACATACACTTTGTAAGTTTACCTTGTATGTATATTTGCTCAAACGCTAACACCTTCTTAAGTATTATATTAGAATTATAACTTTCAGTATTTTTATTCTTAATGTTTAATATAAACTTCTTAACTTTAAATTGTAGTATAGAAGCGCGATAGATCTCAGTCTGAGTGCCGCGGGCACTCTTTCCTCTCTTTCACTCTATTATGTTAAAATAAATTTCTTATTTTTTCCTCCTAAAAAGGATATTACTCGGGCAAACTTTCTGATTGAATTACTGAAACGTCGAAAGAAAAGGGAAAGATACAAACTGAGAAACACTCTACATCATCTGAAGTTGCGAAATCATATCTCGTATTGTTCCAAGTTATTTCGACGTCTGATAAAGCAAATTTACAATATTTATGAAATAATTTACGACGATGAAAATATAAGCCCGTTTCTTACGTCGCCCTCTCGCCCCCGGTTTCAAAATCAATCGGACTCGACGAAATCGATCGGACCGAACATATTTTCTGGAAACGATAAACGCATATTGCCTTTTCTACGCACACGTCGAGCAATCTTTTTTTTCTTAAAAATGTTCTATTCAATGTTTACTCCTATCCGATAGTAATGGAGGACATAAATCTCTCCTTTTGCAACAACTTCTTCCATAAATCTCGCACGAGAGTAACATTCCTCTTCCGTTTTTAGGCAACCATCGCCGAGTTCCGGCACGACCGGCACCTCGACGGTATCGTCGACGACCGGCGAGGGGGACTCGGCGCAGAGCATCGGTATGTACCCGGTGGGCGTCGCGACGTCGTCGGCCGTGACGACGTCGTCAGCCGTGACGACGGCGACGCCGGTGACGACGGCGTCGGCGACCGTGCCGCTGGCCACCTCCGGTGTCACCGCCGGAAGCGCCGCCGGCATCGCCCGGAGCGTTTCCGCGCCGAGCGCACCGCGGCCGGTCGTCCAGATCAGCAGCTCCTCGGCGAGCGCCTCGGCAGCGCAACGGCCGAGGCTCAGGAGAACTCAAAGCCGCACCGAGGCCATCCGGAAGTGAGTATAGTCGGCGGCGCAGTGTCGACAGAACGTTCTATTTTCCAAACATTTTCCAATTAATCTAGTCACTTTCTGAAAAGGATTGTTATGTCGCAACGTCAAAATGTGATGAATAAAAATTGCCGACACGAGAGCGATTCACACGGTGTAAAGTGTACGCCATTTAAAATATTGAATGCTATTTTTGGAGTTTTTTTTTGTCGTGGGTGCCGCAGTGAGACAAATTAGTTCACTGCCATTTATTGCGTTTATCAATCATGCAGAAAAATATGTCTCAACTTAGGATTCTATACTTCCGGTAACGTACATTTGAAATATAAAACGTGAGAATTAATCGCCGTCTCTCTTTCTGAAAACTTCTCTGTAAACTCTTTCGCATTACTCTCCGGATTTATTATTTTTCAAGTACGAGCGCTCACATTTCACTTAAAAATAGATAATTTATCTGACAATTCTGATAGGTGGAAGATCTCATAAAATGGAAATATACATTATGCGTTAATTTATTTTAAATAATAAAAGTAAAAATTGTGTGGGTTGTTATATAAAGATCCGTTTTCTACATTCATGACTTTTAAAGCACGAACATTCATTTAAGTTAAAAGAAAATTTATCTGACAATTCTGGTAGGTGAAAGATAGAAACGCGTCATTATGCATCTTGAATAATAAAAGTAAAAATTGTGTTGATTGGTATATAAATTATTCATACCAGGTTATTCTGATTTATTCCTCGAATAATATATATGTTAATTTGTTGTTCTAGAATCAATAAATAAATAGAAAAACACGCTGTTTTAACATATTGATTGCCGTGTCATATGTGTCATTCACATATGAATGACACTCCTTGTTTCCGAGAACGCCCTGTCGTTCATACACGAATGACACTCAATTTTGTAACAATAATATTTTAATCTAAAATGATATTTCACGGCAAAAAAGAGTAAATTGTGAAAGAAAACGTATTTGGTCTTTTGTGAAATTGAGTTCGTCTATAAATGACATGGCGATCAACATGTTAATCGGTGAGGACGACTTGAACTGTATTTAAGGTAACACAAACGTGAGTCCGACTGATGTGTAACGCCTCTCTAAATTTTGCAGCTACATTAGACGCGAGACAGCGCAGTTCTTCGGGGTCGACGAGGAATCGGAGGCCTCGGAGAAGCAGAGATGGCTGGATCGACGGCGACGCATGGCGTCGAGGAAGTACGGCGCGCTGGTACCGGAACACAGGCCTCCGGACCCGGACATCACCCGGGACGTACCGGACACGACCGAGACACCGGAAGTGAGTGCATTGTACCATGAGAATATACGTTCTAGGAGCGATTATGATCGTATGAGCGATCGTAATCGATGATAACTCGGGCGTTTGACTGCGTCAGCCGGACTGAATCGTGCCGGTAGAGCAAATTGAAAATTTTTATGCACTTTGGGCCGTTTGATGAAAACGCCTGAGTTGGGAATCTATTGACATTACGACATATGTCCCTGAATTGTTACTTCAAAGACTGTCCGTGTATTGTCTAATCGTATCTAAACTTAATTTGCGGAACGTAACTTAATAAATCATTCGTCGCCTCGGATTGTTATTAAACAGTTGTATCGGGTTAGAAGAAACGGCGATGTAAATGAAATAATTCTTTCATAAATTCGCTTTAATGATTTACCAAGGAAAATAGGGATTTTAGGAAATTGCGATAAAAAAAGACACATTTCTGAATATTCATAGGGTGTCACTCTCAGACGATGGCAGCAACCAGTACGAAGGAAAGATTCTGTAGCGAGAATGACGCTGTCGGGTCTTCATTACATCGTCGAGGTGAGTTATTGTCCCATTTCCAACTTTTCAGTCTTAATTGTGGTGAAATCTGCTTTAACAATTTTCTGCTTTTATACGGAATTATTATAAAGTCCTATTATTTCGAAATTATTTGTTACCGTGCTTCCGCGAAATATATTTGTCCAATTCATTATTCTGTTAATTGAGAAACGTATTTCTCAGAATTGTTAAACGTTGCGGACTTGTCTACTTAATTCTTGATATGATTAATTGGAAAATTTAATACACAAGTCGAGCGTATTTAGAATCTAAAATGTTAATTAATTCGAGCAGCCTGATTAGCCGGCTTCCCTCTGCGCAATTTTATCCTTGTCTCGTCGAGATTGCCCGGTCTCGATAAACATACGCGAGATAAACGTACATATGTACATAAGTCCAGAATAACATACATAAGTCCGCGGATGAATTTATTAGGATCACAGGCGAATCGCGCGACGTAATTAGCCGGCCGGGTGTAAACCGCCTTCGTTGAATTACATTACATTAACCCTAAAGTTTAGATTAGCCAAAGTAGAGTAATATTCCAGTCATAAAAGTGGAGCGACCCGCACGCCCGTCGCCCCATTACGTAACTTCGGTTTTAGTTTACGCCAGAAGGGCTTATTTCCGCTCGCGCCAACTTTGCGCTCCCGCCAAACTAAGACGAAATTTCACCTTCGAATTATTCAGGTGTTTCACCACTTGCGATTATTTCACAAATATTATGCTACACATGCTTGTTCGTGAAACAAAGTAGTCGAATAGATCTATAAAGTTAATACATTTGAATAATAAAATTCATAAGGTTGTGACGTGGAATCACAGTTCGAAGGTATAAAGGATATAAGAGCAAAGACAGGATGTTAGTGTCTAAATGACTTTAATTTTTTAATTTATTACGAGAAATTAACCTCAGCCAGGGTTTGAACCTGGACCTCCTTTCATTAGGCGGGCGTCTCGCCAATTCGACCACCGAGGTAATATTTATCGCGATAAACAGTCAAACGTTACTTCACGAACGTCACATGTTGTGACTGAAATCGAATTTATACATTTGAATTATTCCAATGCTCCTTTTGAATCGTTATGCAAGAGTGCGGTGGTACGAGAATTTTTATAAGGTGCAGTTAAGTTACATGAAAATTTAAGGAGAAAGCTGCAATTGCAAAATCAGAATCACCTATTTTCACGTCTGTTTTTCTCATCGCTCCAGAGCCAATTCAATAAATTTCATTTCATCTTTTTGTTATTCTGCTTCTCGTATAATTGGCTACATTTTGATCGGCGCTTTTCCCTAAATAAACTTTTTCCGAATATTAAGTATGATTTAAAAGTAATTAGTTTTGTGCAGCTTTGATCGCTCGTAGCTTTTGATAAATTGATAATTTTTTAAAAGCGAACGATTAAATCATAGTCCATCCATTACAGAATTTTAAAAAAATTTATAAAAATCGATTTTTAATGCCTGTCGAGAGAAAGGGGCATAAAGGTAAAAAAAAAGTGATTTTGCACGAGAGCGCTTCAAAGGTTTTGACAATATAGCGTTACAATTTCACATTCTTTGCAATAATCTATCTCCGTTTTCTTTGTCTACTTTAAATCAAGACTACAAATAGAAGCCGTACAAATACGTGGCGAATCGAATCAAAATTTGAAACAGGTTTTTTTCGTTCTTTCTTGATCCAACTATTCAGACAGGGAATTTAATCTTTTTTTGTGTTTTGACATATACAGAAATAATTTTGTATGGCTTAAAGTACGTAGAGGAAAATCTATTTTGCAAAAATAGAAAATCGACATTTCAGTCATTTTCGAGTGTATCCTCCTCTTCAGCGATATGACGTGTAATTTTTTTTTATATGCACTACAAGAGACACGATGCTGTTTTTGATATTTAAGTGATCCGAGTCGCGACATAGATTCAGGCGTTTTCGAAATTAAATAAAAATGTTTTGTAATATATAGACGAACAAAATTGATGGACAATTCATTGCGTTACAAAAAGCGAAAATAGTAAACTCCTTTACTCTCGTGCGGATATTTCGCTAACAGTGTGTCTCGCCAATTGTCCCGAAATACGTCCGGATTTATACTTTTTCGTCCTTTCGATCGGCCATTCGGATTCATCGACCTGCGGCCGCACGGGCGCGCATCGCGCAATGTATTCTCCTCCTGCGCGAATGGTCGGTCGGCCATATTTCAAAACTTACCACTTAACTCGAACCGGCCGGACAACGGACTGGAGCATGGAGCATCGCCGCAGGAGAGCGTGTCTCCCTTTCGTACACACGATGGCCCATTAAAATAATTCACGCGCGACCCAGAAAGCGAAGTCCGGGCCGCGAGTCCGAGTCGATTCCAAGTCGAACGGAAAATTCGCGGTCGCTCGCGATCATTCTTCTGCATTAAAAGGATAACCCTCAGCCATTTTTTTTTACCGACTCAGTCAAATATATTAGCCAACCTCATTCATTTGTAAAGTGATATTTTAAATTTCTTTTCTTTTTTTTTATATAAAGTCGACAGTTCCTGGTTTTGTCTTTGTGCGTACTTTAATCGTGTGGAAGAATTTGGAAATTTTACAAAGCCAATTTAAAATTTAGTTAGAACTACGAATTGAAAATTTCAAATACCAATACCTTTTTTTATTAGACTTCTGAACTGAGTGTTTTAAGTATGACAATGTTCTGCTACGCGGTCCGCAACTTATCATGGTATTATTTTGTGCATAAAAGCTAATGAAAAGAATTACAAGCGCAAAAACTATATTTGACTGTGTCGGTAAAAAAGACGGCTGAGGAAAACGCAGTCTGATTTGCCCGAATAGTGGAACACTTTCGATCTGTACGCATGAGTCTTATAATTTGTGTATTACACAACTGTTTTCATGAACTGACAGTTCTAGATGCAAAAGGTGCAGAGTCACTCTAGCATCCCCTTAAGACACTCCGAATGTCCCGAGTATCTTAAACTTTCATCGCGAATTTATTTTTGAAGCTCCCTGCGAGTTCGACGAGGCGATCCGCAATCATAATTTGACGAACGATCTCGCGCGTATGATGGAAATCGTGAAATTAGTTGTAATTACAAGCGACTGATAGCCAATAACAATAATTAATACGTATAAATACTTGCCAGGAAAGATTTAATTATCGTCACACAATTATTTAGAAAGCAATAGATAATTTTACGCGAACTAATTATCGTGAATTAAACGTAGACGTCGAGTACATTCCGATAATGCGAAAGAATCAATTAAATAAATACGATTCCGCGTGTGGTTTTTTTTTCAAAATTACTTTGCGCGCCGACTTTGTTTTAATTCCATTTTCGGCGATTAAATAGAAATAATAATACGGCTTGCACAATTAGAGGAAATTAGCTTGACAATTTTAAATTTCAGACGCACGTTATTATATCCTTCGCTTTTGAAACGTTTTCTTTTCTCTCGATTAATGCGAAATGTCATTATGATTTGTTAATGCGTTTTCCGTTGTTACGTAGATTACGTCGCGTATACTCGGCGTTTTAAACGGGCGGAACGAATCGCGCGATTTCCGCCGATAATTCCGCATTGTTCGGCGTCCGATTTTTCTCGACACCGCGGAATTATTACGCGAGGGCCGAGCACAAAGCGGCGAAAATGAGGTCCGAAAAACGATACGAATTAATTTTGCCCGCGATCCGTTCCGCGCGATCGAGTCGCAATTCCGCGATTTTCGCGCTTGTGCACCGGCAATAACGAAATTTATTAAGCGGAAATGCTGCCCGCGCTGCTTAAACCGTTTCGCAAACCCTCTTTTTAACAGTATAACTACAACAGTACAACATATAGCGTTGAACCTGGAACAAAAGCCGGGCCGCACACATTTCCATCACGCGCGCGCATATACGCACGATATTTCGAGACAGATTGCCTGATTTTTTACGTCGGCCGTTTACCTTTTTATCAATTGTATCCATTATTCCATTCTCTTTTCCTCTGCAATGGTAATTTTTAGGATTAAAATGATTAAACCTGACGTTAAAAAGTTAACGCGGTATTTTTCTCGCGTTCTTTGCTCGCGTTTTAGTTCCTTTGCTCCGGTCTAACATCCTGCCAAAAATGTCAGGCGTTATAATCGCCCCGGTGGAAAAGTTTGTAGTGCAAAAAGCGGCATCCCACTTTATATGCGTGCCGGAGTAAGCGGCTCGTCCGAAAAAACGCAGCTGCGGTGGACGCGCGTGCGCGCGCGCTACACGCTCTGATTAAAGTAACGCCGATCTTACTTAATAATAGAGTTTATTAGATTTCCGCTAATAAATGGCGCCGCTGTCTCCTTATTACGTCGCGCTGCGCGTTCGCACGCGCACTCGGACGATGTAAATTTTAATAAAAACTCGCGTGTAACGCGTGCACCGCGCCGCCCGCCGCCATTAATTACGTCCCTTCAGCGGGACGCATAAAGGGCGAGTAAAGCGAGTTACGAGGGTAATCTACTCCCTTCGTTACGCCGCCTAAGATTTAAAACACTTCGTTACGCGCAACGGATGCGACGCATGCTTCTCTCTCTCTCTTTTTCTCTTTCTCTCTTGTATTCTATCTCTTTTTTAATTTTGCGGAAATGGCGAATTGCGAGCATTTGCCGCATTCATGCGAGAAGTAAATAAGGAAATCCTACTTCTTTTCTCTCAAAAGGACAAGAGTCTCCAAGTGATTTATCTTATTCTTGATTCTGAAGATTCAGTCACGCAGTTTGTGCAAGTTTTCTTCTCAGTTTTCGCAAGAAACGCTTGGCGAATCCGAAAGATTCCTGAAAATAAAGCTCTGCAGAAGTTAAGTATGTGAGAATATAATTACGCAATAATCTTCGGCTGAATAAACTCTTCTAACAATGAGAGTGAAAGCAACCCCTTCAAAGGAAAGGACTTTCCACTGATTTTTATTGAAAAATATCATTAGAAACTATAAAAGTTTACGGGTTTTTAAGACCTACATTAATATAGTAAGAGATTTTAAACAACTCTTGTTTTAAAATGCGTTTCTCCTCTTAATCCAGGAAAATTGTATCGTTCGATAATAACCAAATGTAAAATGTTTCACAAGCCCTTTATAATATTGTGTACGAATTGGAGATTATACTTTTTTGAAACGTAAAATAAATCTTTATTGTCCAGAAACATATTAACGTATGTTCGAAAAACACAATAAACAATGGATATTCATCATAAATAAAAAATAATGTTAAAATTTATTTAATTTAATATCTGCCATTGCACAGCATAAATAATGTGATATAATATAGCGTTCTGCAAAATTAGCATATGGGATAATTTCCATAGCGTGCAAATATTTATACCGTGGGCATCTTTTATGCAAGTGTCATAAAACCGATTAAGAAAATAGCAGAAGGAGCATAAATTTTTAAAAATATTTTATGAAAAAACATGAATTTTTATGCATTTAATACTCTTCCGATATCTCTTGCAGTTTCTGAGATACAATATGGAGAGTTTCTTTGAAGGGACATTTTTGCCCTTAGAACCGTTTATCAGAAACAGAAAATTGCTCTGTAATTACAGTTATATTTTGTTTCTGCAATGTTTCACATTTTTAGGAATTTTTGAATGGTCGGATCTTCCTCTCACGATAACACTTTCAAAGAAAATCGAGCATGTGAAAGTTCATCGATGTCATCTCAGTAAATTTTAGTATTTAGGCCTGGTAGAAACATCGAGGGGGGGGGGGAGAGTCGATGTACTAACTGAAATCGTTTTGAAGTTGCAACTGCGCGGCCGCATCCGCCGACGTAGTCGTTAATGCCGGATTATGCAGATCTGCGTTTAATTATATGCTCGCAAAATGATGGATTTTCCAGTGAATGCTCATTACGCGTTTGCCATCATCGTTGATCGATATTAATGGCGAGCCAATAATGTAATCTAATAATGACCTCGGTACGAATTAATCAGGTCTCGAATTATTGCCGATCGTTATCGTCAAATCGGATCCTTCCGGCAAGAGGTAATTTTCTTCGTCTTCTTTTCAACGACTTTCAACGACGACTTCAGGCAGTCGTGTCATTCCATTCGGGATTTAATTTAACTTTATTAAATAAAAAAGTTCTTTCAATTTCGTGTAATTGGCTTTGCTACGGTATCGTATTGACTTTAGGAACTGAAAACAGAAACAGAATCTAGCTTTAATTATTAAAACCTGACCTGACGAGTCGCATCCTTTTTATGCTGAATGAAGAAAGTACTGTAAAATTAAGATATGCGCCGAATTTCTCTTCTAACGCAATGCCGATATCTTATATTTTTATTCGGCAAAGAATTTACATCGCAAATTGAGATATTTAACATAGGCGAAGTATGTGAACGCGAGATATGTGTTTTCTCTCGGTATAATGGCGGACCCGTTAAAGCGGAAAAATTCCGGAAGCGGGACTGCGCCTCTGTGAAATCCGACGGAATTTAATTTCGTGCACGGCTTGCGGGAATTAACATTCACCCTGTTTATTGCTTCGTATCGAGCCCTACCGATCGGATTTTATACTGTCGCGGCACGGTTCTCGGCCGTTAATCGCATCGTCCACGCAATTGAACGGTGTATTTTGAAAAATGCGCCAGGCCGGTTTGGAAAATTGAAAGTCCTCGATCTTTTCCACTATCGTTTCGCTGCGATCGATTAAAAAAAAAGCATTTCCCTGTAAAAAGACTCCGCGGTAGTCTCTGAAACCGTCCATTACATTATTCAGCTTCTTTGAAGGTTTCGGGACGCTGTTGAAATTTTTATTTACAGCACATGTTACGTATATTTCATACTCGCGCGCGTGTACTAGCTTCGCTTACACTTGGCGCGAGACACTACCGTGTCTCGTGATAACGCTAAAACGTAAAAATTACGACAGATCGTTATCTTTTTTTAGGGGGAGGGGATTTGAAAAAGTTAGTTTCAAATTTATAGAAGAATCCGAAATCTTACCCTCGGAAAGAATTTTTGTTACCGAGACAAAAAATATTCTTGACGCATTTACATTTCTCACAATCTCCTTCAAGTTAAAAATAAGACAATATAAAAATAAAATCAATAATTTTTATTCTCCTCTATCGAATTAAAAAAGATTGACTTACTATATTAAGACAAGAGTAAATTTAAAAAAATATACGTATAAATATAAGTTTATATATTCTTGCGTTTAGAGAATACATTTTCCCTCCATCTTACAACGCATGAGGTTGGCACCACGACATTCGACAAAAGACGATACATACTTTTCATTTTTCGTCATTTTTCGTCATACTTTTCATCTCACGTCATTTTCGTTTATCGATTTGAATACGTGAACTTGCTGACGATAATAACTCCACCCGTAAGAAAACTGCGTTATGTCCGAAAAGAAACCGGCGCGCAGGACAAAGGTGGAAAGAAACGGTATATAAATTCACATTTTAATAAATTACAAGTATGGGCTACCTACATCTTGCCTTAGACCCGCATTAGCCGTTTTCTATATGTTGTCTACTATCATTTTATTCTAGATTTTGGAATTTTTCATTTAAGATTAAAATATTCCTTTCTATATAATAAATATGATTGGCGCTATATCGATTCTATTTTATGATACATTGAAGTGTAACAGCATTGGATCCGGCAATTTTTTCTGCGAGTGTAGTTGCGACACCGTGTACATTCGCTCGACAATACGCGTAGATTTGCTTGACAAAGACATCGTCTCGTTAGCCGGAGAAACAGTATCGGCAGAAGTTGCGAACTTAAACTGCCGTTTAATGCGGCAAGTTTTACGAAGTTCCGAAGGGAAGTGCATGGTCAGACACGGTGGCTGCCGACTGGTTTGCACTTACTACTGACTGGTAGCAGCCAGCGAGTGGACGACCGGTCGGTCGGACGCGGCGCGTGAGCCTGCTTTCGACAGCTCTGACAGTTTATTAGCGGTATCGAGAACCGTAACTGGGATGTAGCGCAGTTAGCGATCGCCATGAAACTTTGAACGTCGATTTCTAACGCTTTGCCTCCCCGAACCTTGCCGTAAGACAGCTCGCGTGCCCCGCATTCCCCCCCCCCCCCCGTTTGAATCTCACGACGTTTAAGGAGGCGGAACTTGTTAACTGTGAAACCGAGGATGTCGATGGATTACTTCGTCTCTTCGACAGAGGCGCCTGTCGATCGAATTATCTTCTTTTTTTTGTCGCTGTCGTCTCATCTCTTCACTGTCGGTGTTAAATTTGACTCGATGAGTGGTCGCGACTGTTCTTACTCAATACGTTGTTGCTTTCAACTACCATATGCAATCAAGTTTATTATTTTAATGCAAATTGCAGTTGAAGAAACAACGTCCTTTATTCAACCTATTTTACGGTTTCTTTTAACTTCACCGTTGAATGAAATTACTGTAAGACTCGTGGAGCCAAAGTTGACACTACAGGTTTAACAGTCTAGAAGCTATTTAGTCTCCACTCGCGAGAAACTTTCCCGCGGACTTTGTCCCCGATGCGAGCGAAAGCGCAGACAAATTGATACTTTCTGCGATAGTGTCCAATTCTCCGAGGCCCGGTTTCACCAACGTCGTTTGACTTTAAGCTCAGCTTAATTCTCTCTTCGTCTCCCTCCAACTGTTACTTTAGAAAGAGGCAAACATGAATTAAACTAGAATTAAAGTTAAGCGACGTTTGGTGAAACCGGGCCTACGGACAACAATTTCGCCTGCTTAATCGAAGCACCCGTCGTGTTCCCAGTCGTTGACGAGGCAGCGTCCACGCGAGCGCTCGGAGTCACGCCCGGAGTCGCGCAGCTTCCCGCCGAGCACGATCACGTATCTGTCGAGGAGCACAGACCTCGACAGTGGCCAGGACGAGGACGAGTCCTTCTTCGAGAGGCCTCCGCCGCCGCCGCCGCCCCTTCCGCCTCCGCCGTCGTCACAACAGTCGCAGACGCAAATCGACCAGGCCTCCAGCGGACTGGTCAAGGACGAAGAGGTCGCCGCGAAAATAGCGGATATTCTCGACACCACACAGGATCGCGAGGAGATCAGTATCGAGCTGGTTGGGTAGGTTTCGTGAAATCGTGGAGTTCCGCACTGGCAAAAAGACTTTTTTAAACTAAGTAAATGGATTTACTTAAAATTATTTTTTACCGAAGTAAATATTTAAATAAAAATATCAAATTTCAAGTAAATCTGTGTGTTATATTGAGTAAATGAATTTGAATCATTGCATTTTCTACACTGAAAAAAATTTCTGGTTGAATATGGACGAATCAGATAATTCCTTTAAGATTTACCAGAATTCCTTTAGGATTTACCATAATTCCTGTAATCCTACAGAAATTCTGGTAAATCCTAAAGGAATTCTGGTAAATCCTAAAGGAATTATCCTGTAATCCTACAGAAATTCTGGTAAATCCTAAAGGAATTCTGGTAAATCCTAAAGGAATTATCTGATTCGTCCATATTCAACCAGAAATTTTTTTCAGTGTACATTCAAATAAATGTTTAGTGGAAAATTGATTGTTGGATCGTGTGATCGTTGCGAAAAAAGATTTGCCATTGAATTTGGACGTTGAAAACGTGCTATCTCATAACGGAGGACTTTCCTCTATATTTTCGTTAATCTTGCCGGACACCGAGACACTGGGTGGTTTCCTCTCTGCAGGTTCACGCAATCAAAGGATGACAGGACGACGGTCGACGGACAAGTCAGACGACCCCGTTCGATCACGAGGGACCACTATATTTCCAGGTGAGAGTTCTTTTTTCGAATTTTTAACCAAGCTCTTTGATAGAAGGCTAAATATCGCAGTCCTAAAGTATCGAGCTATTGTAAACTGAAATTTCCATCCTTACGTGAAAATAGAAATCAAGTAACTACAGTTCCTAAAGGCAATAAATAACGTTTTACATTAATAGTGCGAGGAGCAACTCGAATACCATCTTTCCTAATGGTCAATTTAATAAATCGAACCTGGTCTCTCCCATAAATGTGCTTTATCTCGGGGAAATGAATCAAAGATGGATGCGTGTGAACGAAATGAAAAACAGGATCCTGTTGCGTATCTTCGCGCTTCGAAGTGAATTTACAAAAGCTCCCGCGCCTTTGAATTCCCACAATCCGAGAGCTATCGATACTTGAACGTTGCGGGTGCCACGTGCGATTTAAACGATCGCAAAAACCCGCCTCGCGCGCGAACAAAAGCAAAGTAGACTTGTCGTTGGCCGACGAACGCGCGAACGTGTATGTACAACGAGCAAGAAATTACAGAAAAACAAGTTGGAGCAGGTCGAAGTACGACGCGCCTCCGGCGGAGAGTACGAGGGTGCCGCAAGAGGAGGGGGTGACTCTTCGCAGCCGGGAGATAGCCGGGGCCACGAGGATCTCCCGCAGCACGATCGACCGTGTCTTCGACAACAGCAATCGGCGACGATACGGGATGGGCATTGTCGGTCGCTTCTTCGGGTACATTCACATTTTATTCCTTATTGCGAAGCCTCTGAAATTGCATTCCTGCGAGAGCTAGGCTGTCTCTTAATTGGAAACCAATTAACTGATTGATGCGAAGCCTTCGGTAAAAGGGGCTCCAGGTCCGTGTAATTTTCATAACGTACAGAAGGTCTTAGGCGGAATATTCGAAATGAACTCTTTACCAATTAATCTCTTTACCAATTAATCCACCGCACACCTTATTGTCTAAGCTCAATTAAAATGTCGCTGTTATAATTTTTATACGTGTTATAAATGTTACATTTCATGCATGTTGTTTATGTTATATATATATATAATTTATATATTCAAAGAAAATATACACCCCATATTTTTGTATCTCAAAGACTGCAAGAGATACCGGAAAAGTATGAGATGTATAAAAATTCATGTGTTTTTTCATGTTTATCATAAAATATAAGAAAATTTATTAATGTTATATTTTATATATGTTATTTATGTTATACGTATAATTGATATATTTTTACGCATATTGTGCGCATGTTATTTCATGCAGTATTAGGCTAATCCCGGTCCCAGCTAGAAATGATTAATTGAATCGATGCCGACTAATCACTTCTGGCTGGGATATATTCGCAGTAAAATTTATTATTGGGACATGTCGCGTATTGCGGACACCATTATTGTAGAGAAAGCGTTTTGTCTATTGACAAAATCGAGATTATGGCAGACAAAACACACTAAAGGGAATATTAAAATGAACTAATTAATCCCCACCACGACCCTTTTCTTCTAAACTAAATTAAATGTCACCATTATGATACCTATATATTATTATACATGTAATTAGTATATTTTTACCTACACACGTATATTATTTCACGCAATATCATATTAATATTGTTCCAGTCGGAAATAATTAATTCAATCGACGTCGAGTAATCATTTCTGGTTGGGATATATTCGCGGTAAAATTTATTATCGGAACGCATATCGCGTATTGCGGCCATCATTATTGTTGAGAAAGCATTGTTGTCCATTAACAAAATCGAGATTATGGCAAACGAAATGTACTAAAGGAAGAGAGATTGAGAGAGAGAGCTCGATGAGTTATTGAAGTTTCTCCATTTTGCTCGTTATTTCAGGCGATCTTTTCGGAAAAGCGTCGCGCACAAGCCGGACATAAGGAAGCAGTTGGACAATTTCGAGGATCACCGACCGTATTTCACGTACTGGATCACTACTGTGCAAGTATTGATTCTGATAATATCGTTGGCCTGTTACGGATTCGGTCCTGTCGGGATGGACATCAACCATCGATCGGGAACGGTGAGCAGATAGAAATCACACACTACTTATCGGCGACAGCCATTCACGATTGTCCACTCCTTAAGTACCTCCCTTGGGATTTCGTCAAGTTTATTGAGAAACTAATCTCGCTGAGAATAAATTCGTTGCGCGCACGGCTGAAGACGAAACTTTCTTTCTACGCCGGATCGAAGCGCAAATTATGTTGAGTCCAATATCAATCCTCGTTTGGAGTAACAAGAAGTGAACGATCACTTGTAGCTTAAGCTGCAACTTACAACGATGTTTACGACAAAGTTTTGTCTCCTCTTAAATATGTACTGACACTTGCGCTTGTTCAGCATTTCGAGTTTTATTTAAGTGCTTAGTCGTCGTTTTGTTGAGTGAAACGTGAAAGGACGATTAGGGATTCTCAGGAAGGGTCCAGCACAATGATGAGAAAAATGTGGATTGAATTGTGTCCAGGTTCTCGTGACGAGTCTGTCGTTGCAACAAGTCGACTACCGGGAACCCGCGAACTTCTGGCTGGGCCCTAGAGCCGCGGATCTGATTCACCTCGGCGCCAAGTTCGCGCCGTGTATGCGTCGGGACATCAAGATCCTGAAGGAGATCGACGTGTGGCGGGAAAGAGAACGGGATACTGCCTGCTGCATCAGGAATGACGATTCCGGCTGCGTTCAGTCCAGCAAAGCAGATTGTTCCGTAAGTTTCGCGATTATCTCGAGACAGCACTTGTAACGTGCCGTTGGCCCTTCACGATCGTGTATGTTCATGATAATAAAATTTTCTTCCATGCGCGCCCAACAGGTCCCGGGACTGAGATCCAATGCTATGGTAAATTATCGTAATTTTTACTTGGATTCTGTAGCCACCCCGTCCTGCCCGAAAGCACTTTGAGGAAAGAAAGAGAATGCTCTTAATTTACTGCATATTATAAGCGTCGTAGTCTTTTATTATTTAATTGAAACTTTCCTGATATAAACACAAACGCTTACTCCTGTTATTTCCGTCAATGTCCGAACCTAATTTATCTCAATTTAATGAAAGAGATAGAGGTGTCAATTTTCGTTATATAATCTATTTTTTGCGCATCCTGTTATTAATTTAGTTAACTGTTAATTTATGCATGTTTCAATCTGGGAGAGATTGGAAAATATCCGATGGTATTTTAAAGTCTCAAAATCATCCCTCGCTCACAATGATATCAACTACTGATTATGCTGAATCTCTCGCAGAATACAATATCGACCTGGAAGAAGTGGGGTCCCGGAGGAAACGGAGACAGCCCCGGCGGTCGCATCAGTGGGTCAGTTTGCGGACTGGACCCGAAGTTCTGCGACGCCCCGGCGAGCATCGCACCTTACGAGTGGCCGGACGACATCACCAAGTGGCCAATCTGCCGGAAAACCAATCCCTTCAGCCAACATTTCAGGTGAGTTTCACCTCTCGGGTTTAGCCACGAGTTCTCTAAGGCGCAAATGAACAGAATAACCGCTGCGCGGAAAAACAGGGCCGTTTGCGGAAACGAGCTCGTAAAAATAAAGCCACGAGGATTAAAGTAGTTGTAGAAAAAGGCAAACATCGACAAATTCTTGACAGTAAAAACGGGGGTCAACGGGCCAACTTTCCCGTCGGCCGTTACAAGGATAAGATGGCGGAGCACATGGTGTGCGAGGTGATCGGCCATCCGTGTTGCATCGGGATTCACGGGATGTGTCGGATCACCACGAAGGAGTACTGTGATTTCGTCCACGGTTATTTTCACGAGGAGGCCTCCCTGTGCTCCCAGGTGGAGTGTCTGCACGACGTCTGCGGGATGATACCGTTCCTGCATCCGGAGTGGCCGGACCAGTTCTACAGGCTGTTTACCACCATCTTTCTTCATGCCGGGTAACAGTTCACGACAAATACATATCGATTTTTCAAATTTGTCTTGAAGAAGCACATTTATTTGATATTATAAAATTTACGCGCGATTTATCTTACCGGGTCAGTTAAAAAGAAACAAGTTTTTAGAGCAGTTCATTTTAATAAATTAATTCCAATTGACACAATTAATTTGTCGATAGATTTAATTAAAAAGTACATGACACTCTATTTATTTATTGTATTTTTGTTGAAACTGAATCGAATAAAAAATCAATCGATTAGTCGGAATAAATTAATCACGAAGAAATAACGCTCGACTTATATGTTTATCCCAATAAATCCGTTTTTCAGAATCGTCCACTTGATAATTACGTTGCTGATCCAATATTTTCTGATGAGAGATTTGGAAAAACTGACAGGCTCGTTACGCATCTCCTTAATCTACTTTATTGGTGCTCTTGCTGGAAATTTGGCCAGTGCAATTTTTGTCCCTTACAGGGCAGAAGTAAGTACTTGAACCTTGTGTGTTATTTGCAAATAATACCTTAATAATAAAAAATACAATTATTAGTGACGAAGAACAAAATTCTTTATAGAAAAATTATTAGTAGTAAAGAATACAAATATTAATAAAAGAATTTCTTATACTGCCTTTATAAGGATGTATAATTTTTTAGAAATGTCAGATAATATCTCTTAGAATTGTCAAAACAATTTGCCTTAACTAATGCTAGACAATAAACCAAAATGATGGAATTATTTTTTCCATATTATATTTTTTAGTTGTATTCATCACAACACAAATTTCGTTCATATTAAAAGAACTTTTATCTGTATGCATTTACTAATTGTGACCAAATAATATGTTATCAGTATTTATAACCATTTTCTGCATTTGACTGTTAAGATTTTGTAATACTTATTAACTTTATTTATTAAATATTTATAGATATTTGCCAACCTAGTATTAAGAGATATTATACAATCACTCTCTTCTTTTCTTTAAAAACCTGCTGTTTCATATTAGAAATCTATCTCATAACAGAGGACTTTCCTTTATATAAAACACAAAAGTTCTTTCAATGTAATGCGTGTTCATGGAAGTTTTTATATGTGTACATCTACAACATTGTCCGCTTAATTATAGGTCGGTCCAGCCGGCGCGCATTTCGCTTTGCTTGCTACGCTGGTGGTTGAAGTGCTGCATTGCTGGCCGATGCTAAAGCACCCACGTCGCACACTGTCCAAGCTGATCCTGATCCTGCTGGGTTTGCTCACGCTGGGAATCCTGCCATGGATAGACAACTACGCGCATCTATTCGGCTTTATCTTCGGCTTCTTGGCGGCCTACGCGCTGATGCCGTTTATCTCGTTTGGCCACTACGACCGTAGACGGAAGATCCTGCTGATCTGGGTCTGCCTGATCCTGATCGTGGGCCTGTTCGCCCTGCTGCTCGCCCTCTTCTACAACGTACCGGTGTACGAGTGTGAGGTGTGCAAACTGTTCAATTGCGTGCCGTTCACCCGCGACTTTTGCGCCTCGCAGAACATCAATTTCAAGCGGGAGGAGCCCGCAGTATGACACACGGGGCCGCGGTACACATCCGAGCGCGAAATTGTTCCGCTCGGCCCCCGACCTCATGCTCCTCATCATCGCGCGCATCACTACAATACACCATTGCCGTTCGCCGCGCTCGTTCTGACGACGCTCCTCGTCGACTCCCAAAGACGCGTCTGAAGTTGCAAGATCGATCGGAGCTGCATAAAAGAGAGTTTGAAGGATGACCACAGCTCGAAATCGTCGAAAGCCTTAATTGTACGAAGCTGAAGAACAATTTCTTTAAAAAGGGAGATTTTCTCGGATCTTTAAAGACAAATTTAAAAAGGGTAGATTTCTTCAATCTTTGAGGAAGCTAAACGCAAAATTTTGAGGAAGCTAAATGTAATGAATTGTTTGGATTCTTTGGAAGAAGTTGAAAGAAGATTAATATTTTTCTTCCTTATAGTCACAGAGAAAAAGGAACAAGTCTCATTAAAGGAAAAAGAATCTTCAATTTCTGAGAAAGATAGAAGGATAATTTCTTGTCTCTCCGATAAAACTGAAGGAGGAATGAAAATAAACGTTTCTTTGGCCTTCAATCGATATTTAACAATCTCATCGAGCTTCGAGGATCACCAGACTTGCGTTATCCCACTTGCAAGATTGCGGAACGCTAACTTTGAAAATAATCCTATTACTTAACGACTGCGCTTCCACGATGACACTATTCGAATCACCGAGCTTCTGAAATTTCGCGAACTCAAAGCTTCTACCTTGAGAGTTTCAGCGTTTTCTCGAGCTTTGAGAATCCACGATCATTTTACGATCGTTCGCGTTTCGTAAGAGTGATATCACGGTGCGTTCGGGGGACATGGGGGTTTGATAGTGCCTGGATCGAGCGGGTGAAGGTGATGGATCCCGACCGACATTTTCGCTACTGCCAACGAACGTTAGAGAGGAACTCGTGTTCGTCGACGCACGACGATGCCTTAACATTATTAAGTCCCAGCGTAGTGAGTGGCTCCCGACGTGAGCTGGCCGGGGCCCAGCGGGCCTTGAGGGAGCCCAAGGACTCTGAATCGCCGACGGAGTGTAAATATATACGCGGGTCTTAGATGTCCCGCGACGATGACGGATGGATGCTCCAGGGATCGTCCTGGGGGTCCCGCGGAGTTCGGCGCGGTTAGCATCCACTTTCTCGAGGTGTTAATAGGATAACGGAGGGGGAGAGCCAGATGTAAATAGGATCGAGTCTTGTTACCATTGTAAGAGCGATCTTAGTAAGCTAACTTTAGGGAGAACCTTGAAAGTGCGCACGTCTTTCGTCTCTGCACGATATAGTCCCCCGCACCTCCGACATCCGGAACTATTGTCTGTGATGGCTTGACCTTGGAGATATTTTTCGTAGCACCGCGACGGCCGTAATGACGATGGCCGCGAGCCTTCCTGCAGGGACGATCGGTGGATGTTCACTATCTGGATACCAGTCGATTGCTCGCACGTGCGAAACATTCGCGAGTTTTATGGAACTTGATATATTTGTAAGAAAAGGCGAAATTAATACACGTACCTTTCCACGTCAAAACCACTTCGAAACACTTTCCTCTTTAAAGTTATCTTTAAAGTTATCGGAAATACAGACAAACGTTTTTAGATAAAAGCTTTATAATTTTCGATAAAATATTCTAAGCCATATATCGATTAAATAAAATTGTAAAAGATCAAAGGATTGTTTTACATAGAGGAGAGTTCCCGTGTATGAGATACCGAATTCATTTTTTGTAATTACTGGAAATCTATAGGCACAATTAAAAAATATAATAGCTCATTTTGAAGGGAATTTAATAAGCTTTACGATGCTGAGATGTAAAATTCAATTTAATTACTTTTTTAAATTAAAAAAAATATGAAAAATGAACTTTACGCGAAATCGAAACAGTGTACTCGTAATACGAGGTATCCCGAGAAATTGCTAATAAAGTGCAAAATACATAAGTATTACAATTAGAAGTTTATTAAATGTTTGTGAAAGACAAATATAATGAAAATGTTTCAATATTTTTAATCTAACAATGAGTCACGGAAGTTTTTCGTTTACGCCCTCGTTTTGCAGATGGTGTTGCTACAATTGGTTTTTTATTTTCATTAACAACTGATCGCGACAGTTAACACTCGATATGTTATCTCGTATGAGTACTGAATATCTCGTAATACAAGCCGCACACCTTGCGGTTTTGTGACCATCAAATTTAATCTTTACAACTAAATAATTTAACATGTATCCTGTATTTTCCCACTAATACAATCTTACTCTATCACTGCATGCAGAATTTATTGCCAAATATTTTTTATTTATTACATAATACATAAAACTCAGCTCAATAGAACTTGACGACATTCAATTTCTTAAATCTCTTTTTATATTGACTACATGCACGATCGAACAATGAATTTTTCACTAAATAGTTTTCACTCTAAGAGTAATAAGTTTATAGTGGAATTAACTGATGGGCGCTTATTAGTTTTGCAGAAATCCCGCTATCTCATAATACGGATCTCTCCTCTATGTATCGCTATTTTAATGATATTTATAAAGATGGCTTAAATAAATTCGACGGATTTTTATATCATGCGCTTGTGAGTCCGAACAATATATACAGATTCTAACAAATTATGAAATACATAATTTGTTATACTCAAGTATAATTATTTAAAAAAATATGTATATTGTGCGGAATTAATATTAAACATGACATAAGCTTTGCCAAATTTTTATTGTTACGTTTTTACTTCCATAACATAATTGTTTTTGTACAATAATTATTAATGGAATTATACTTTGACATAAATATATCTGATTTTTCTTAATTTCCTCGATAAACTGGTTCTATTAATTTAATTCAATAATACGAGATTTCATTAGCTCAGAATTTAATCAGTTTGTAGTTTACTTTAACAAATTATATTCCAATTTTGTTTAACAAAAACGAATTTTAATTTTGTGTAATAATATTAGTCGTTTACTTGGAACGTTACAATCTTAACGTTAATATCTCCAACCAATGCAATCTTATGCAATGTTTTAACGAGATTTATATTAAAGTGCGACATAACAAAATCTTGCATTTTACTATGATTTAAAGTACAGTCCTGAATTTTACATTGCGCTTTAATATCGAATATCACGAAAGTCTAAGTACAAGAAAACATGGGATGCATGTAATATCAAGAGGAATAACTGACGAGATATCCGGTTGGTACCCAGATGATTGACTCCTCGTCGAGGATAGGAGGGAAGGGGAGGTCCGAGGCAGAGGAGGCGGAAGGAAAGTGTTAACGATTTAAGGCGAAACGAATCAATTTTTTATAACAGTGTGAGAGAGAAAGACAGAGAGAGAGAGAAAGGTAATGAGAGAAAGGAAGGCGAGAATATCAGAATTCTTGATCAATTTCCAAAGTCTGTAAATATACATTTGCGAAATGCGATAGGGGGAATGTGAGGAAGTGTGAGGGAATGGAAGAGGTGTGGAAGAGACAGATACGCGAGGCATTCGCGTGAGATAATTTGATGATTTTTGTTCGGGGGATTGAAATCGTGTAATCTCTTTTAGTGAGGGCGAGGGATCAGATCCCAATCTTACTGGCACTTCGTAACAATGGACGCGCCGTTTCTTCCATATCTACGCGTAGCGCGGAAAATCATACTGGTTTCAATCCCTAATTTATTCCGTTCACCGCCACGTGTACATACGACGTGTGTGTACATACGCGCGGGTATTCCATTTTATTATTGAAATTGTCCTGTAATTAATTTCGCACAAATCTGTGGAATCACGCTTGTAGTTACGATTACGGTCAATTCGAGTGCACGTTTCGCCATTCGATATTCGATGAATTTAAACGAACAAAAGAACTTTGAGGAAATAATATATTGAACGTAAAGTGAAGGTAAAGTGCAAGGGACAATGTAAATTTGCGATCGAGATTGTTGCGGGAGGAAAAAAATTTCTCACATACACGTTTACCTTCTTCTGATATTTCTGTACCTACGACGTGCTAAATATTTCTAATTTGTTCTTTCGGCCTCGTAAGCCTTTGTACTTTTTTTTTTTCAAAGCGGTTGAAAGAACTGTGCGGCGGCGACGCTTCGCATTCGCCAGACAATTACATTAGCATTATGCGTGCGGGATGCACAACGTAACTTGACGTCATTTGCAGGCATTGTCATACCAGTTGCCACGATTGTCATTGCTATTGCTCGCATTTAATCCAAACTATGCATTTGGAAACTTTGTGATATACGATTCGATGATCCCACGAAGGAATGGGAGAGAATGAGACGGGAAGAAAGTTGTGTGCGTGTGTGTATGTGTATGTGTGTGTTTTCTGTGTGTGTATGTGTGTTGTATGTGTGTGCGTGCGTGTGTCGGGGTGGCCTCACCACCCTGTTAAACTTTTTTTCGGATTATTATATATAAATATTATAAATATAAGCGTATACATACGCGCGAGTTAAGGTGGATCGTCGATGACGAGCAACGTATTGTTATTATTGTAAATGTGTTATATACAGATAATAGCATGCAACAAATACGTACACACACACACACACACACGCACACGCACACACACACACGCGCGCACGCACACGCACACACACACATATACGGTATACACGAGGTACATGGATATATGAACAATCGTATATACACGTACACACACGATGGAGATAAATAAATTGAGAACTTTCGATAATTCCATACCGATCACGGCGAGGTGGAATGTCTCGCTCTCCCTCGTGGAGGCGAGAGAGGAACAGAAAGAGAGAGAGAGAGAGAGAGAGAGAGAGAGAGAACGAAAAAGGGAAGAAAGAGGGTAGTTTCATCCCGACTATGGTTGTTCTAGAAGCCAAAAATTACAAGCAAATTGCGCGATCGAACAAATTTTTTCTTTAATTAATCTTATTATGGCTGTGCAAGACGATAGTTTTTGTGGAATTCATTGTACGGGGTGTCTCAAAAGTTGCGCGGCGCTTCTGTTAATTGCAGAAGTTAAATTAAGGAAAATAACATTTTTAAAGTCTTTAATAATAATTTTATGGAGTTTGATAATTCAATAGAGTCTTAATAAATTTTGAATTATGAGCAAGTAAAAGTGAGGGAAGAGGAAGATTTTAAGGAATGTATTTTCAATAGTAGAATCATGTTGCTTCCAGACATTTTTGAAATTGGATTTTGACTTGGCATCCAGTTTCCAAGATACTGAAAGCTGGAAATTCAAAATGTACAAACGTGTTTCTTTATATTGTGTTTTTTATGTTATTTATAATTAATCGTTTCTTTTTACTTTGTAAAAAGGACAAAGTAGTGACGTTATCTCGGTAGAATCCCCGATCGAGCGGTTGACTTGTAATTTTTGCGATGCGGCGAATCACCGCCCTTGTAAATAAACGTATGCGTCAAAAATGGACCAAGGATCTACATAGTGCAGCTCGTGCGTGTAAAATTGATCGGCAGGTAGGACTGTAAGTAAAGCTACAATTAATCCTAATTATTATGGAGGAACCCCGCGAAAGATAGGCGAATTCGGAGGGAAATTCACGGAGATTCTCTTTTGCGAAATGAGAATCGTAGTTTTTGAAGTCAAAAATCCGTTAAACGCTCGACCAGACGGCTTTTGCGTAAATATACTTTTCTATTCTACTAAAGTTGACTAGCGTAACGTTTCGTGGTGGTAATTTTTTATTCTTTTATATTTTGTTTCGAAAAAAAAACGCACCAATTGGGCAGGTATTGTTCACTTCGATATTTGGGACTGTTTTTCGTGCGGGTTTCCGTGCAAAATGCTTTCATTTCCGTGGATATTTCTACGAAAGCAGACGAAATTATATATCGAGAATATAAAAACGAACTTTACAATTGTAAAATGTTTGCAAAATTTTAAGGTAACTCGTATTCTGGCAAACTCGTGCTCGCACGAGTTTCGCGCTACCGAGCTGTGATTTCGAAAATTGGGGGATTCGATTTCGCATAGTGAACTCTTGTCCGTCTTTCTCTCAAAATTCGCTTAATTTTTGCGGTGTAAATAAAACGGGGCGCCGGCGCGGCGGCGCTGGCTTGTAATTAATTAATTAAGGCTCTCGCGCCTCTTTTATATAAATATTATACATATATATATGTATATTATATACGACTTAAAAAAAAGAACATTCCACCACGGCCGCGCGGTATTATTTTTCTGTATCCCTGTATCTATAAAAGCGCGATATAAGTATTAAGAACGGACTTTAAGGGAATATACGACTGTATTAATTAAAGATTGATCAACTTATTATTAAATCACCATCATTATCATCATTATTATGGTTGCCATTGTTAATATCATTACAATAATTATCTTGCCCTGGGTTCTCATCTATAATCATCGGTGCCCTTCGATTATTATTAATAATCATTACATTGTACTTGTCGCTGTTATATACATACACATATAAATATATAAATATATAAATATATACATAAATATATAAATATATATATACGAATGATATATATATTAATTTAATAACAATAAAGAAAAACGTGAAACACACGTGATCTAATTTGTGTGTGTGTGTGTGGATCAACGATCCTTTCTTCAAGCAATAACATCGGCGAACGTTCGATCGAAGTTTAATTATATTACGAGTACAGTGCACTTTTCCATTAAACCGTGATTTTATTAATTTCATCTATATATGCTTTCATTTCTAAAACTTTGTGTAAAACGCTCTTTATTTCTGTGTAATTCAGAATTAACGCTTGCTAGGGCTTAGTTGCTCATCGTCACAAAATCCCTCCATCGATCTTTAATACTCGTTCACTCGTAATAAGTTCCCACGACGAGGCCTATCGCAAAATATTCCGCAGTCTCGATCACATGGGTGGAGTACGCGTCTCTCTGAACGTCCCATAATTTGCTAAAATCTATTCGCACGCCTTGCCCTAACTTTTGGACGATCGACATGACAACCACAACTTTGTATCTGGAAGCAGCAATAAGATGAATCGATAAGATGAAGTTGCTCGGGTAAAAAAGTGTATTCTTTACACTCGAGTGACGTAAATATAAACATTTTATACTCTCGCTCTATTATACAATTAAAATATATTATCAGATAAGTCGTGATGGTCTAAATGGTAAAGTTAAAATGTGATTACTAATTATTCTAAATTTATTTAACTTAATGATGCATCAGAAACAAAGTAAAACGAGTTCGAAAATACATTTACACGTAACTCTTCAAGATGATTATTACAATGGTAGGTGTAACATAGTTTTTTTAATCGACTTGACATTATTACCGATCATAAAACTTCCTGCAAATCTTGTCGCGCACTTCTTCCGACATTCTCTGGCAGATTTGCATGCAAATCTGAGGATGATATTTCAAGCTGGCTAAATACTCCTGCATCACGCCGATCAAGATTAAATCAACAACCTCGCACTTGAAGGGCTTGTAAGCTTCCAGACGGTAAGTATTTTGATACTTCGGAACCTGGTGGACAATTTTCGTTAGCGTCTTCATATTTAAATGAAGTCATTTTAAAGAAACTCTGAGTAAATCGCGTTTCTCTTCCCTGCAATCCTTTGTTCGTTGTAATAATAATTTTTGGGGTTATAAATATGTTTAAAGTAATGTGCAAAATTTCTTGTATCTCGTGGAATTTTGCAGTTTTTATGTGCAATACCTTGAAGCCACCTTTTTCTATGCGAAAGAATAGACTTTTTGGAATTCCTGCAATGCTCTGTGGACTGCTGGTTCTGGTTTTGGAGCGGCGGATAGCTCTTTCAACTGCGGACCATGCCCTCGGTACTGATTGTTGTCCTGAGAATTGTTAGCAATGTATCCAATAATTATTGTTATTTGTATCAAATCAATTATTGTAATCATTAATGCATATTGTAACGAGACCCCGTTTCAAGCTTTTAAATCGTTATTAATTAGAACTTACTTGCGCCCATGCTTGTTGCAAATTGTTTTATTTAAAAGTATAAAATAATAAATAAAAATGAATAGAAAAATCGTGTATATCGTCTATCAAACAGATTGATATAAAAATCGTGTATAATGTATATCAAACGATTAACATGACTTCCAAAAATTACATTTAGCTTTTAACTTCAACCCCCTTGAAATTGCAGCAATTTATTCTGCTATCATTGTATCCCATAATTTCCCTATTAAACTAACTTTTATAAAAATAATTATGGGGCGCCTTTTTATAAAATTGCTTACATAATACCATAATAGAAGTTCGTCGAAAGTGTACTTAATCATCTCTATTATTCTTGTATGTTAAATTTTAAAGAATGCAGATTCAATAATGCAACTCAGAAACACAAGAATGATCGAGAGGCGTGCGATCGACATGAAAAAAGTAACATTCTAAATTGTCTAGCATAAAAATAAATCACAAGCCAGTAAGAAATGACTCGTCGATCGATGATCGATGATCGATGATTGACATCGTTTCGACATCGATCGACGAGTCATTTCTTGCTGGAAATTAATGCTTGAAATTGGAAAAAATGAAAAATGTAATCTCAATATATCGAATAAAATACCGAAATTATAATCAAAATAAGTCCAGGAAAGTTGTGGACGGAATAGAAATGACGTACAAGTGGGAAAGGAATGGATATGCTTTTATAAGAAATTGCAATTTATGTAATCGGGCATAAAGGGTGCAACTTGCATGTGCATGTGCATTTGCATGGGCATAGGGAAAACTGGATTGTCAACTTTACAATTTATTCTTGGACGGTATCTGTTCGATATTTTTGCACAATATATTAACAATTGTTATTCTGTCAACTCGATAAAAAAATACACAGAATACTGATACATCATAATAATATTAGGACACTCTGGAGTCCTGCCCAGGTCAAAGTCGATTGCAACAAAAAATATATATATATTTATTTATTTATATACTCTTTTATGTATAATAATCTGTGTGGAGGGTGGGTCAGTATGCGTTCTCCTCCCTTGGTTCTCGCGAAACGTGTGTGTATATAACGTGCTTACGTTGATCTCAATCTTTCTTTGCCGAGGTACAAATGAAATATCCTTGTATTTATTGATTGATTATTTTGCGAGGGCGCCTGTTCTCTAGAATCTACGTGTTTAAATGCTTTCTAATATTTACACAATTAAAGGACACTTTATTTTTAAATGTTGTCGAGATAAAAAAATTGTAAAAGTCCGAAAGATCGAATTTAACGAATTAATTTTTCTCGTAGGACTTGGAAGTTGTACTATTGAATAATTATCAGGATACTGGGACATTGCAATCATAGTTTGTGCGGAAGAAGAATTACGCTTACTGACCCTGCAAAAAATATATGTATTAAAAGGAATTAATTGACGCTCGATTTGTATTGATTGTCTCATTGAGAATTGAATTCGAAATAATCGATACTATTCTGCTAGTAATTAATTTATATATCTCTTTTTTTACAAACCAACTTTAATTACCTTGTTCACATAGTCGGGAATTAAAACAAATATTTAATATTTTAATGCAAATTAAAATATATGGAGATTATTTTGGTTCTGTTTGTCGTTCGCTATTTTTATGGAATGTATGAAATTGTTAAGAAAACGCAAAACAGTGCTAACTGTTCAGTATTAAGGAAGAAGTAGGAAGAAAGAGGAAAGTATGCAAAACTGTTGAAATAAATCTCTGATTTCGAAACTTAGGAAGTTAATCTGGTGAAATAAATTCTAATTCCTTTTAATTCAGCCATCTTTTGCAGGAGGAGTACCTCACATAATCTAGAAAAAAATGTACAATGATGTCGGCCGGGCGAAGGTTCCGAAAGCACAATGTTCACTGCGCGAGAGATGTTTTCTTTCTGTCGTAAAATCAATTTGTGCTCTGTAATAACATTCACAAGAATAACATTTAATAACGCTCATGTGTGAAGAAACATCTATCTCACTCCTCCGAGTTCGCACGCTTCTACTTATCGTAACAAGGAAAAGGCCACTTTTCAACATAAAAAACTATATAACGCCACGCCTTACAAAAATACTCCGCTAAGAATACAGCTTTTTGAACGGACGTACGTGCATCATTGACGCTCAACTACCAACAAGTTAATCGCGAGATTATTTTCAACCTCGAGAATATTCGCCATTGAACTTTCATCAAAGTTATTGGCTGTTATAGAAGTAATATTAGATTTCTCATCGTTTTTATCTTATAATACATAAAGAGAAAGAACAGAAGGGAAAAAGAACTGAAACTGAGAATATTTAATTAAGCTAAATAATAAGGTGTTGGTCAATACCTTCGAGCTTGATCAAATTTCAATCGAAGTTAAATCTGATCCCGCGGTATCGTAGTTGAGAATAAATTTCACGCGTGCACTAAGTGCTCAAATTGTACAGTAAAAACAAGCGAGACACGCTTGAATTACTAAAGTCATCGAATTTTACAAATGTTATCGAACCCCCAAACGTTTTGGAACACAAGTTTTTTTTTTGTAAAACAATAGTAAACTGCTCTCTTTCGTAGCATGATTTCGTCGTACTGTCGCAAGTTGCAAAATGTTACAAAAAAACAAAGAAATGTCATGGTAAGTGTTGTAAAGGATTAATTAAGAATTGAGCGCACCAATTCGAGCACCATGCGCACGTGCACGCATACACACACATATACATACACATCCTAGCTATTGAAAGTGTCCCGCGTTATCGTTACACTTCAAGCAGCAACCTTGAGAAAGAATGGAATGTGTTGCATCTTTTATGGTACACGGATAACATGAACATTATACTTTGTTAGCAATTATATTTACAAGACTTACAAATCACACACCTAGTAAAAAATGACACAGTCAGTGCCTATTGCAATTTGCTTTCGCCCTATTCTCCCCGTGGAATCGATGCTAGAGACTCATTTGGCCAGTCCGTTGTCTGGCGGCCGTTTCGTTACTCTCCGAAATTTCAAGATCCTAAAGCCAGTTCACAATTCCTGGCTCGAGGGATCTGGAGATTTTATGAGAATCTATGGTCAGAGATCCTCATAGGTCTGGAGGAGGCAGAAAATTAAAAACCTAAACACATCGAGATTCTTAGATGCAAGGACACGCGAAGTTATGGACTTATGATTACTGCGTAATATCTCTTTCGTCAAAGGTATTCGAAAACGTCCCTAAATTTTTTTTATCCGGAATTTGAAAGAAAGAAAAGGAATATAAAATATAGAGCTCTCCAAATCTTAAAATCCATTTGAAGATTTGGAGATTTTATAGAACCATCTAAGACTCTCTTTCTCTCTCTCTCTCTCTCACAACATTTTATATCCTCTCTTTCTCAGAAAGAGATCCCGATATTCTCATATCCGCGGATCACTAGATGAGACAGAACCTTTAATCAATCTGCCACACGTTAAAAACATCTCGATGAATAGCTTAATAAATAACGTACACGAGCAGTCGCGAAGTGATTCGCACTGTTTACGTAAAACTGGTAAACTAATTTACGTTTGTGTCCCTATGTGTTCTTCGCAGACTCGTGAAATCTCTCCACCTTGCGTATCAAGTTCGGTGCACAACAGATCTGAAGGAATTCCTAAATTGGAATAGTCCTAGCACTCGGACTTGTCCTCCTCGACCAGCTGTTGAGTATCCTTCCCCGAGTCGATGGGCGTCGGGTCCAGTTCTCTCCTCTTCAGATGCAGCTGCGGTGGCTCTTTGTGCTGTATGCTGGAGGGCTTCATCTCCGCCGGCACTTCGTACATGCTGCCGGCGCCGGTGCCGTTCGTAGTGCCGCTCTCCATGTTCACCGCATCGTACATTGGATTGCTGAAATCTCGGTTCTTATTGGTAACGTCGTTCAAGTTGTACTCCACGTCGAGAGGCTCCTGCAAACGCAACATATCATAATGATTACACGTAAATAAAATTTATTGACATATTGCATCAATACATGATTTATCCAGGACGACGTATTTAAATCATGGTGAGCAAAGGACTTACCATCCTCTCATGAGCTTCTGTACCAAACTCTACATTGCTGCCTTGGCGGAAAGAAACACTTTGCGCGCCTGTGAGACTGCCGAGGCCACCGGGCTTGCCACTATAACCATTGGTCAAGTTTAACAAAAGATTGTTTGTATTCTGCACTACTAAATTTTAAAATGATCATGCTTACAATGGTCGTTTCTTGAGAACCATGAAGATCGCGGCGACACAGAACAGCACCAGCAGGCATATGACTATGGGAATAACTATAGCGGCGGTGGATCCGCCCGCACGAGCGGCGACCGCCGCCGTTTCGCAGAATTCTCCATGGAATTCCTCGCGACAGTTACACGCCAGCTTGTCGTCCAACTCTTGACACCGTCCGCCGTTCTGACAGCGACATATTCTGGGCTCTGGCAGAGGCCTTTCGTTTGTGGCGTCGCAAAGCCTCTCGTCGTCCTTCATCAGGCGCTGAAAGATGCCAACGCTGTCTGAGCAGAGACAACGGTGTCCACCAGGAATTCCCACGCACAGATGAGTGCACTGCTGATCGTCAAGGCATGGATTTCTCAGACTGGTGTTGTATCTCAGCTGATGATAGATTTTGACGCCTCCGGGACTAGGGAGATTCTTAACGATGGTCTGCGGTACTCCTCTGCCAAATTTATCCTGTCGAACGAGTTCACCCGTCTGCTTGGTGGTCCAATAAAGGTTGTTCTCGAAAACATCCAGCGCTATTGGACTCCTGAGCGGTCTGCCTTTCAAAACGACTCGTCTGTTGGTGCCGGCCAAACTGATCGCCTCAATGGTGTCCAACTTGTTGTCAGACCAATAAAGCGTGTGCTCCATGGAATAGTCGATGGTGAGCGACGAAGGACTAGCGATTCGTTCTGTCACCAGCGACTTGCGTCTGGCTCCGTCCATCCAGGCTATCTCAATCTTTGGTTGATTACCTGAGTCGGCCCATACGATCTCCCCTCGCTCGGGATCCACGGCTACTGCTGTCGGTTGTTCGAGATTCGTTGAGATTATGCTACGTCGATACCTGCCGTCCGATTTAGACATCATAATTTGCCCGCGAGGAGTGGTTCCTGATAGATCGATTTCACTCCAGTATAAATTACCGTCGATCCAATTTACCGCTAAGCTCGTTGGCCTGGAGTCACCTATAAAAATAAATACATAGTGAAACTTACCGCGCGACTTATCTCGTAAATAGATAAGAGATTTATTAATTTTAAAGGCTGCTCCACGTAGCGATAGGAAAAGTCAAATAAGTGCTAAAAAATCTGAACTTTGGGAAAACTAAAATTTTTTAAACCCTACATCATTATTTCAGTAAAACCCAACTAACCAACTATAGAATCGAATGATACATACTCATCATATTGAGGTTCTGCGCGTGTCCAATCTTCGCTTCACCCTCTTTGGCATTCACCATGTAGGACCGTTTGATGGTGTTGTCGTACGAGTCAATCCAGAAAACGTATTCCGCCTTCGGATCAAAATCGATGGCCTGCACTCTCTTCTCGTTGTCTATCACGTCCATCTCTTCCCTGGTGCGCAGGTCGTAGGCGCGGAGTTCGGGTCCGTTGGCGAACAGCACGACAACGTTATCGTTCTCGGCGCGGCACACACCGCTGTGCCTGTCCGACAGTTGGAAACCGTGCCGGCAAGAGCAGGCGTACGTGCCGTTCAAGTTGGTGCAGATGTGAGAGCACTGGTGGTTACCGGTCTGGCACTCGTCCACGTCCACGCAGTGCTTTCGGTTGTCCGGCGAGATTATGTAACCAGGATAGCAGGTGCAGATGTAGCCGCCGTCAATGAGATTGTGGCACTCGTGCGCGCAACCGCCGCGGTCGGCGTCCGTGCAATGCTGGCTGTGATCTGAAAATGCAACATAGGTAATGACGACTATTACCGCCTATGGAGTGCGAGTGATGAGAACGGAAACGAGACTCACGGCATCCCAACTCATCCGACAGATCCCCGCAATCATCCGCGAGATCGCAGAGTTTTATGTGGTCGATGCACTTCTTGTTCGCACAGGTGTACTCCGTGATCGGGTCGCACGGGCGAGTCTGCTTCACGCACATCGTCATGTTGTTCTCGTCCGAGCCGTCGCCGCAGTTGTCGATCCCATCGCACAACTGGTACCTGGCGATACACTTGTGGTTGGCGCACTGGAATCGTCTCTGCGTGTCACATTGGAAGTTCGCTACGCAAAGAGACGCAACAACGTTTATCCTCCCGTTCTTGTTGCAGAGGAGTCAGAGCATCAGCAATCGACTCACCGCAAATGGTAGGGCTCTCGTCGGAATTGTCACCGCAGTCGTCGGTGCCGTCGCAGATGTCGTTCAGCGACACGCAAAGGTTGTTGGCACATTGGAATCGCGATTGCGGGCAGTACCTTCCTCCGGGGTATCTCGGTGGGCAGTTTACCTCGTCGCTCATGTCGCGGCAATCTCGCGCTCCGTCGCAACGAAGATACGATGCGATGCAGTGACCGCTCGCGCATTGGAAATTTTCGTTCTACGACAAGCAGCGAGATACAATATGAGATCGTAATGCGGCAACAAGACTGCTAGTCGTCCAATCCATTTACGTACCTTGCACACCCACTGATGGCATTTCTCCTCGTCGCTGTTGTCGCCGCAGTCGTCCTCGCTGTCGCATCTCCATCTGGACGCGATGCACTTGCCGTTCTTGCACTTGAACTCGGACTCGGAGCATTGGCGGTACCTGTCCTTGCACATCGTGTCCGTCTCGTCGCTACCGTCCCCGCAGTCGTCGGCGAAGTCGCACAGCCACTGATTCGGCACGCACCGGTTGTTGGCGCACTTAAAGTCCATCTTGGGATCGCACTTCGGACAGTTCTCCGGACGCTCGTCGGAACCGTCGCGGCAGTCGTCCTTGCCGTCGCAGAACAGCCACTTCGGAATGCATCGGTAGTTGGCGTGTCCCGGGCAGCGCTGCCACCCGGTCGTGCAGTTCTTCTGCCGACACATGTAGGCCGGCTCGTCACTATCGTCGCCGCAGTCGTTGTCGGAGTCGCACATCCATAACTTCGGTATACACTTGCCATTCTTGCAACTGAACTCGGTGCTTGAGTCGCAGACGCGGTTGTCTAAAAAGTAATGTAAATTGCAGGAATTGTAGCAGACGAAAAGAAAGAGTACACTTGATCGATCGAAACTACAGAGAAGCTAGTAAAAAACAGTACAAAGAAAAGATATCTGATACTTACGACAAATAGAAGGATCTTCGTCACTGCCGTCCTTACAGTCGGCGTCCCCGTCGCACTTCCAGGAGTCGTGTACGCATCGGCCGTTGGACTTGCACTTAAACTCGAGCTCCCCACACTCGAGCGCGCACTTAGCTTCGTCACTCTTGTCACCGCAATCGTCAATTCCGTCGCAGATCGTCACGCTCGGCGTACAATTTCCGTTCGCGCACTGGAACACGCTCGGTCGACAGATCCTCGTCGGGCAACTCGACGACTCGTCGGAACCGTCCTTGCAGTCCTTTTCTCCGTCGCACCTGCGTACAATTTTCGTCGTAATTCCTCCGTCATTTATTTATAAAACAATAGTAATCTAAGCATGTCTCACCTCCAGTACCAAGGGATGCACTTCTCGTCGGGCGGACCGCAACGATGCTGACCCGCGGTGCAGTTCGATACGCATGTCATATTGTCCTTCTCCAGAATAAACTGATTCGGGCACGCGCATTTGGCTGTGGTGACTCCAGGCTGACCGAATCCCTCGCGCAAGTACGAGCTGGCGGGCGGTGCGATGAGGCAAAGATGCGAGCAATTGCCGTTGTTTACCGCGCAGGGGTTGTTGTACGGCAGCTGCCGAAGAGGGTGATAGGCGTGAATGTCGTAGGGCCGATGGGTGGTGTTGCGCAGCACCTGTAGGCGTTCGCCGGAGAACTTCTCCGCTCTGCTGATCGCCTTTAGATTCCAGTCGGTCCAGTAAATGAAGTCGTCGAACACAGTGATGGCGAACACGTGCGGCACCGAGGCGCCGGACAGGACGATCCGCCGATTGTGGCCGTCGAGGTCGGCGAAGGCGATGTAATCCAGGTGGGCGTCGGCCCAGAAGATGCGATCGGTGAAGTAATCGATCGTCAGGGCGTTCGGCCAAGCGATATCGTTCTCCCAGTTCAGAATTTGAGAGAAGTTGCTACCGTCCATGCCTATCTTACCGATGTACGCCTGAAACAGACAGTGATTCACGATTGAGTTACCGTAACTTTGCCTACGGTACAATTACTCGCGAAGAAACCGCGATGCTCAATGCGACATTCACCTGAAGATGCCAGGACGTATAGTACAGATATCCGGTACCGGGATGGACCGCGATCGCGCGTGGGTCTGCAATTTCGCTCTTCAATGTGCGCCTATTCGTGCCGTCAAGTTCGGCGACGTCTAGGTGTTTCGCGTGGCGATCCAGCCAATACAGTTTTCGACCAACCCAATCTATAGCGATACCCTCGAGACCCAGACTGTCATGACGAATGATTGGTTCCTTCTCGCCGCCGTTCACCGATGCTCTAAACAACAGCAAGACATTTAAATAAAATAGTCTCCTCGGTAAAAGAGATGTATCTTCGTGTTATAGCATTAAATAAAACAAGCACATGGAATGTACCTGTATATTGTTTTCGCTGTAACGTCGCAGAAGTATAGCATTTGCTGGCTGTAATCCGCGTCGAGCGCAACGACGTTGATCAGATCCTGATGCATCAGGCTGTAGTTGGACGCGTCTATCGACATGTTCCTAACGTAATACTTATTCGTAAAGACGATCCACGGCTGAACGTTGTCCCGTCGCTTGCACGTGTGCTCGTCGGCCTCCCTGTCGTACCAGTGCTCGTTGCACTTGCAATAGTAACCGCCGGGCGTGTTCTCACATTGCTGGCTGCACACCTGGGGCGTTTCGATGCACTCGTCGATGTCGTCGCAGGCCTTGCCGTCCGCAAGCAGCTTGTAGCCGGGATTGCACTCGCAGTAGAAGCTAGTCGGCGTGTCCACGCATTTGTGCCCGCACTGATTCATCTCGACGCGAGCGCATTCATCCACGTTGCAATGCGCCGGCTCATCGCTCTCATCGGCGCAGTCCGGGTCTTTATTGCACACCAGCTGCGAGTCAATGCAGTTGCCGTTCGCGCACATGAAGTCCTTCGGATTCGGGCACGTCGTGTTCTTTCCTTTAGACGCTAGAAAAAACGTTTTCATCGATTGCAATAATACCTCGTGTCGCGCCAGGAAGAAGATTGGAAAAGAATGGATCGGACACATATTTGGAAAAGTAAAAATTGTCACCGTTCTTCACGTGCAAGTTGGACTGGAGGATTAATTGTGTTTCGCGCGCAGTTTAGTACTCGATTGTTCAATTGTTACTTACGACATCCTACTTCGTCTGAATGATCGCCGCAATCGTCCTGGCCGTCACAGCGGAATTGCTTGCGTATGCATTTGAAGTTCTGACAGGTGAACTCTTGGCTGTTGCAAGGCTTGTACTGGGAGTTACAGAACTTGCCCTCGTCGCTACCGTCGCCGCAATCGTTATCGTGGTCGCACAACCAGTTGCGGTTCAGGCACCGTCCGTTGTTGCACGTAAACTGATTGTCGGCGCAAGGAGTCGGCGCCGGACAGTGATGCAGAGTCACATTCTCGTCCGCCCCGTCGACGCAGTCCGGGTCTCCGTCGCACAGCCACTTCTTCGGGATGCACTGGGCGCGATTCCACATTTTGTTCGCTGTGCAAGTGAACTCGGTCTCTTCGTCGCACTTTCTGTCGTCTAATAAAAATTAATTAACTCCTTGAGACGGCGGAAAACAGGTTTGCATCGTAATGCAGGATTGAAATACTACAAATATCGAAGTTCCGCGTGACGGTTGGAAAAACTTACTGCACTGATGACGCTCGTCTTCGTCAGAGCTATCCAGACAATCATTGTCCCCGTCACAAATGTAAATTCTAGGAATGCAGTTGCCGTTGTCGCACGTGAAAAGATCGCCGAAGCATGTCCTACCCTCGGATTGGCAGTAACCAGGAGGTTCGTCGCTTCCGTCCAGGCAGTCGTCGTCTCCGTCGCAGTACCAAGTGGCCGGGATACACCTGGACAATGCGTTTGCGTTTAGAAAATACCTTTCTATTAAGGGAAGAGATCATTTCAAAATAATTTTGTAAACGTATATCTGGTTATTAAAATTATTCATCAAACGCGGAATCCTACCTGTGATTCGGGCATCGGAAGCTGTTCTGAGGACAGGTCCTCTGGGCGCAGTGAATCGGATTCTCATCGCTGTTGTCGCCGCAATCGTTGTCGCCGTCGCAGAGCCAGTAGGGCTCCACGCAGATGTTCGTCTTCTCGCACTTGAGATGATTCATCGGGCACGTAGTGTTGCGAGGGCATCGCTCGTGCGTCTCGTCGGAAGTGACATTGTCCTTGCAGTCGTTGATGCCGTTGCACACCTGAGATTGCGGGATGCAGCGGTGATTGGCGCAGGTGAATTCTCCCGGCGCGCATGGTGGGTAAACGCAGCCCTCCTCGTCGCTACCGTCCCGACAATCGTTCTCGTGATCGCACTTCCACGTTTTGAAGATACACCGGCCGTTGTTGCAACGGAACTCGTTCGGGCTGCACGAGTGATAAGCTGAAACATAAAGATCCATGGAGATTTTCTATTTTCGAACTCTTCAGGGACACTCGTATCGGACTGATTTATCTCGAACTTTGTGGCACTCACAGCAGTAACTGGTGGCCTCGTCAGACCCGTCGCCGCAGTCATCGTCGCCATCGCACGCCCACATCCTGGAGATGCACCTGCCGTTTCTACAAGCAAACTTGTTCCCGTCGCAAGTGACGTTCTTCGGCACGCACATTCTGTCCTCGTTCACCAGCCTGCTGTTGTCGCCGCATTTGCACTCCGCGGAGCCGTTGTGGCCCGGGTGGCAGGACTCGTCGCAGCCGCCGTTATTAATATTGCAAGGATTAACGGTACATTGTTGTCTAGCCGCGGAGTAGACGTGAAGATCTCGCGGCGAGTCCTCCAGTCGCTTCACCAGCTCGATCTTGTCGGCCCCGGTGTGCTTCTCCGCTCGGTAAACTCCACGAAGCTGAAGGTCCGTCCAATAGATATGCTCCCTGAAGACAGTGATAGCGAAGGGATAGATGGTAGCGCTAACCAGAATTTCCCTGTTCTTTCCTTCGAGATCGGACCGCTCGATCTTCTCGCGCACGGCATCGGTCCAGTATAGCATCCGATCGTCGTAATCGATCGCTAGGCCGCTGGGTTGCGAGAGATCTTTATCGATGATGGCGCGTTTCAGCGAGCCCGCCATGGTCGTCTTGAAAATCTTGCCGGACGTCCCGAAACGACCCCAGTCCGTGAAGTAAAGCGAACCGTTGCAGGGATCAACGACGATGGCACGCGGACGATCCACGCGTGCGATCATCACCAAGTTAGATCCATCGATGTCCATTGCGTAGATGCTGTTGTTGGACGAATCCGTCCAATACACCTTCTTCTGAGTCCAGTCGTATGAAATGCCTTCGGGATTAATTCCTTTACTGATCAGCGTGTGCAGATTGGAGGAGGACGGTTGATCCGCCGGCGTCCACGCGATCTTCGCCCAAGGACGAATCTGAGTAAACAGCAGCTTCTTGTCCTGATAATCGAAGTCCACTCCGACTACATTCGTTAGGTTCCCGACAGGGGCGAAGGGTACGTTAGTGTTGTGCGGATCTATATTAATGGCGCGAATCTCAGTTCGCGTAGCGAACACGAGGTACTCTTTAACGTTCTCGCAGGTGCGACCGTCGGAAGAGATATTCCCCACGGCGCAGTCGCAAGTGAACGATTTATTATTGTCCTTCGGGAAAGCGAAGCATAGTTGAGAGCATCCGCCATTCGTTACCTGTAGAAACAAGAATTGTTTTCCTTACTTGTTGTCTTTTTAACTTTGTTCGGAAATTATTTTTGCGAGTTGTTTCTTTAAAAGTTTGAAGCTGCTTTGAAAAACGTAATTTTACCTTCTTAAACAATTATGCATATCTCTGTATTTACCTGCGAGCAAGGATTCGACATATCCGGTGGTTGACTGTTTTGGTCGAAGATGGCGATGTCCCTGAGCTTTTGCAGATTTGTTCTGACGGGGACAGGAAGACTGGTATTGCCCATCAGTTTGCTCGCCTTAAAAACGGTGGCCAGATTTCGATCCACCCAGTAGACGTCTCCGCCGAAAATAGCAACGCCCATTGGATTCGGCAGATTTCTACGGATTATCTCTCGATTCCCGCCGGTGTAGGACACTTTCTGGATGGTGTCCAGTTTCGAGTCCACCCAATAAACATCGTGCGTGGCGAGATCGATCGTTAAATCGCGCGGCGTGCTGATACCGGATGTCACAATGGGAGACCAATTGCTACCGTCGAGGAAGGCCTTGCCTATTCGAGGATATTGTCCGTAATCGATCCAATACAAGTATCGTTTGATAGGATTCACGGCCAGCTCCCGAGGAGCGTCTGTCGTCGTCTTCACGAGCACTTTTCGGTTGGAACCGTCCAGCCAGCAGACCTCCACGTAGTTGTCGTGCGGGAAGACGTTGGCGAAGTATAGATTTCCTGCGATCCAGTCCACGGCAAGACCACGAATTCCATTGGAACCAATTCCCTGTTTGACTACCTGTTGCAATTCCGTGCCGTTCGGTCGTATTCTAAAATATAACGGAAATTAATAGTCGATTAACTTTGATTACTGTACCGTCGTCGTGAAGAAAATATGGCTTCAAAAATTTTTCCATTTTAACATTTGTAGAAGCAGTCGATAGTTACCTGAAGATGCCATTCCAAATGCCTCGATTGAATTCCACCCAATATATCCAGTTGCCCGCGTAATGTACGTCAACGTGAAGGATATGATGACCCACTCCAGTAATAGGTATCATTGCTTCCTTGGAGTCCTTGAGACTGTAACCCCTGGCAATATCCAATTGAGTCACCACCGCGAAAGTCTTGTAAGGTTCGCATCTGGTTTCCGTGACCTTTTTATATTCCATTCCACAGGCACAAACGCGTGTACCACCAGACGCAGGCAGACAAAGCTGCTCGCAGTCGCCGTTATTTATAAGACAAGGATGGGATCCGGTCGCGCGTTTTTTATAAATTGTTAGAGTACGAAGCTCAGAATCGTTATCAATGATAGTGGTTGGGTTGTCGCCGTTAGGTAGATCAACGCGTTCGATCTTGTCGTAAAGTGGGTCCAGGTAGTAGAGACGAGACTCGTGGACGGCTATTGCCTTAGGCATTGCCATGTTGTTTGCCGCAGTGAGAATGGTGTGGACATTTTGACCGTCTGTTGACATGGCTTTGATGAAGGCCGGATTTTGGCATGAGAAGTACAGCGTCTTGCTAGATATATCGATGGTGATTGCTTCAGGACGTTCTAGATTCTCTGCGAGGACCAGCGGATTGCTACCGTCCATGTTTACGCGTCCGATCTTCTGAGGCACTCCGAAACCTCCGTCGTCCACCCAAAATATTTGTGCGTCAAGGGGATCCACGCACATCGCCTTCGGTTTAGATACCGATGTACGATTTCCGTCGTTTGCCAAAATGATTGTGCGGAATCGCGTCTTGCCATCCAATTTAATAGCCTCGATATTGGATGCGAATTTGTTGCCAATAAACATATTGCGCCCGAGCCAATCCAGCGCCATGGTGGTTGGTGAACCAACAATGCCAGTATCGCCGGCGGGATTTGGAAACTCTGTCCGGTTACCGCCGTTGTATGGAATGGAATAAATCGTGCCATTTTCGTCGTCACTATCTTTGCCTAAAGCAAATAATAAAATTGTTAAGAAATAATAAAATGCTACTTAAAAATTCTTTCTTAGAGCTTAAAAAATCTAAATCTTTAAGGCCTAAGAAGATTTTGTAAAACAGGAAGTACCTTGGTAAAAAAATTATAACGTCCTATAATATTTTTAAGAATTTTTCATATTTTATATTTATAAAGATTTCTAATAAAATGTCTTGAACTTTTTCATATTTTACAAATTATCTTCGAAAATTGTAGATTTAGAAATCTTAAAAATCTTAAGTTTCAGAATTTAGGTGTAAAGAAATCTAGAAAAGATACAAACTTTCTTAGTATTTCTGAAGTGTTTCAAGTATGAAAGAATGAAGGAAATATTTTAAAAACTATAAAATTTATAAGAAACATTTTGTAAAAAGTTGTAAGAAAGCTTTATGGTACATTAGAGAAAGCTAAAGAAAACAGTTATACCTTGCAGCCAGTAAATAATACGATCCTTTCTATCGTACTCGATAAATCTTCCGCCTTCCACACCTACGATGGGCGTGATGTATCCGGTCTTGGCTTCTTTAGGCGTCAAAGAAACGTCAACGATCTGAGAACCTCGAAGAACCATTAAGTATGGCGTCTCCTCTTCCATGCAGCGTCCGTCAGATAACAATTTAAATCCAACCTGGAATAAACGACAGAAAAGAAAGTTATTCAATCTGAATAAATCAAATTTCGGATAGTCTCCTATTATCTACATAATCACTCACTTGACATTTGCAATTGTATCCCTTTGGATTACTGGGCGACAGAAGACATAGATGTTCGCAGGATGCGTTAGCGCAAGGATTCGCAGAAATCGGTTGTAGCACCGCGTGATGTACGTGTATGGAAAGAGGCTGTGAAATTAGATGCGAGACCACCGTCTGATTAGAGCCCTTAAACTTGTGTGCCGAGAGTACCCGATTGAGCTGCCTGTCAGTCCAATACATAGTGTCCTCAAAGAGAGTGAGCGAGTGAGGATGCAGAAGGTAGTGCGAGCTAGCTAGAACCTGCAGTCTCTTGCTACCATCATAGAGACAAGTATCGATGAAGTCTAGCTTGCTGTCTGCGAAATATATTCTGCGATTTGCGATATCTAGAGCTAGACCGTTCGGCCAATAGATCTTCGTGCTGATGATGGTCGATCGATTGGTACCGTCCATTCCAATTCTTTCAATTCTAGGATTTTCACCCCAGTCGGTCCAGAAGAGCCACCTTGCACCTGGACTGGGATCTAAACACATTCCACGTGGCTGCGTAATATTCTCCTTGACGAGAATCATCCTTCCAATTCCAGTCTCTTTAGCTACTTCGATTGTATTCAGTTTCGAATCTAACCAGTACAGATTCTGGCCAATCCAGTCGTAGGCTAGACCTTCCACCAGATCCAAACCGGTACTGATAATATCTTGAGGATCACTACCTCGATCTAACCGCGAGATTCGCTTCAGCTTCATGTCCGACCAGAAAATAGTACCTGTGTGCATATTGCTGGCAGTCGCCACGACGTTTTCTACATTGATGGGAACACGTTCCAGCGCTTGATCCTGAAGATCAGCCACAAGAATAGTATGTCTATTGGAGATAATCAAGAACGCAGCGCTGTGATTAAACGCCTTGCACGAGTGCTTATCGGCGTCCAACATGTAACCATCGATACAGCTGCAGTAGTAGCTGCCC